TATGAAGACCCACTAGTATTTTAGTACAATCCAGCAATTACTTTTTTCTTACAAATCTCAACAAAACATCAATAATCGACTCTGGTGATCCATGAAGTTGTTATCTGTTTGGTTTTGGAGTTTTCTCTCTGGATATTTTAACATCAGGATCCTTTGGGGGATAATTCTTGTGGTGGTAAATGTTTTTTTTTTCCTGTTACACATTACGGCTCATTAATTTATATGGGTTGGAAGATATCCAGAATATCTGAGATCAGGATGTGTGTGAAGAGATCAGGAGTTTTTTTCCATATGAATCTGGATACTTTGGATAATCTTGCTCATGTGGTAGCTATGATGTTGAAAAATGACTGCACTGCAAAAATACAAGCAATACACAGAGAAACACAGTTTATGAATTATTGCTTTAGTACAGATCCAAAGGGAGAAAAAAATGGAAAGAAAAATAACACAATACTGTATATGTCCATACAAACCTTTGCCCTGTATACAGTGCCACCTATCCTGACCCTTGTGTAGAGTGTAGACCATGGGTCCTCAAACTATGGCCCGGGGGCCGGATGCGGCCCTCCAAGTCATTTACCCGGCCCTCGCTCAGGGTCAAGCTAAGTTTGAAATGACTTGAAAACACAGAACAACAACAACAATCTTATCTCATCAGCCAAAAGCAGGCTCACACTTCCCATTGAAATACTAATAATTTTATATTTGTTGAAATTGTTCTTCATTTTAATTATTGTATTGTTTTAAGTGTTTTTTGCGCTACAAAAAAGATATGTGCAGTGTGCATAGGAATTCATTCATGTTTTTTTCAAATTATAATCCGGCCCTCCAACAGTTTGAGAGACTGTGATCTGGCCCTCTGTTTAAAAAGTTTGAGGACCCTTGGTGTAGACCAATTCACATTCTTTTAAATGGTAGTAATTACTTCCCTCTTTCTGGATCCATGGTAGGGTCATATGGATACTGCTTATGTCAATGCCCTGGGTAGATGCAAATTTATTTATTGTGTCAGAAGCAAATTGAGAATACACTTAAACAAAGTTAAAAATTTTGCATTATACTACATTTCCTTTGACCAGAAGCTGGCCTCCGTTGGGGGTGGGGGGAGGTTCTCATTCGGTATCAGCCACTGATTGAAGTTCCAGCTTTTATCCTGCCACTTTTGGATTCTTGCTTGCTGAGGTGTTCCAGAGAGTATCTCGGCAGATCTTAGGAAGCTATTTCTTGATTTAAAGTGTTGGCTTGCTGGCTGATATCCGAACAGAGGGTTGGACGAAGATGTCAATGCCTTGGCCCTTTCATTACAGGATGCTACTTCCTGACGGATGTCAGGTGGTATAATACCGGCTAAACAGTATAATTTCTCCAGTGATGTAGGGCATAGACATCCTGTGATCATGCAGCATGTCTCATTAAGAGACACATCCACTGTTTTAACGTGGTGGGATGTGATGCAAATGCTAGCATGCTTATTTTCTATGTGATCTGTTACCCTACTTCTCAATGACATCTGTAATGTTATCCTTGAAACTTCACAGCCTAATTCTGCTGTTTGTGTCTATTTTAAGATCATATGACATAGCTAGATAATATCTGTGACATAGATAATGTGCGTTTATGGAGACCTGCATTCCTTTTACAGTGAAACCTTCTTGAAATGTCCAGTCATAGCAAACTCTCTTAAGAAATAATCAAATTCGAATGATGTTAGAAAGACGAATTGTGCTGTTGGGTTTTGTCAATGCAGAGATCACTAAAAACTTGGAATACAGTATGCTTTTTGTTCAGGTTTCTTTGTGCACATACTGTTTATACCTTGCAATAGAGCATTTGTAAAGAAATTGATACTGGCTCGTTTTCATTCAAATGGTTTCTGACTTGAAGCTTCTATACAAACCTGACATTTGAATTGATGCGAAAATGTGTGGGTTTGTTTGGTTTAAAAAAAAAAACCAGGGAGAAACTGTGGAGTTTCAGATTAATTTACAGTACAGACATTTGATCCTGGCATTAGTCAGTGTAGCTCCCAAACAGAATCTGTGATTTTGGTTCATTGATTAAATTGTAAGTGTCTCCGCTGAGAATCCAAACCTAAGTGTCCACTTTGACACAAAACGTGTTCCTTTTAAAAATGCCTTGCCTCTCCAAGGAGTAACATAAGAACTAATGTACTCCACTGCCTGGACTGTCAGCTTGGAGCACATTGACAGGTTTTGTAGAGAGCACAGATATCTAGCATGCCTGGACATGAAAAGTATGGTCAAGATGGCCTCACTGTATTGTACGAGGACAGATGCAAAAACAATGCTATCTGCTCTGCTCTCTGGCTCAGTGGACCAGTGACAAAACCATCCTAAGCTGGCTTAGAAGGGTCCAGACCAGGCATGGGTAAATTTTGGCTCTCCCGTGGTTTTGGACTTCAATTCCCATAATTCCCAATAGCCTCAGGCCCTTTCATTTTCCCCATGAGCCACTTTGTGGGAGTTGAAGTCCAAAACACCTGGAGGAATGAAGTTTGCCCATACCTGGTCAAGACATAGCATGCTGTGGGCAAGCAAGGACGACACAATATTATACTTAGGCTTGGAGTCATTTTGACAGTGTATAGTTGGCACCCTTTACACAGAGACACTGCATCCAAGGATTCAAGCATGCATGGCTTGAACACTCATTTTTGAAAAATCATAAAGCAAACTCAGTTTTTGTCATGGTATATAAGAGATATCATTATACTCTGCCAAGGTATATCATGGAATGTCAGCATCCAGGGATTTTGGCACACATCCCGTTGCAACAACTCCACTGGCTGCAAACCTGTTTCTGGGCACAATTCCAAGTTGGTTTTTAAAATAAAAAATATTAATATTATGTTTACATATATCCTGCTTTTTTTCTCCACAAAGGAGACTAAAGTGGCTTTGACACGTAAAGGCCTATATGGCTTAGGGCCAGGTCATTTGGAGAACACACACACACACACACACACTATGGGCCTGTTAGGGCACTAAGGCCACTTTCTCTGTGTCCCAGTTCCTTTTTGGTGGCTGCTCCCAGGCTCTGGAACTCTCTCCAAAGAAAGATCAGGATGGCCCCATCCCTGCATGCCTTTCCTATGGGAAACAGGAGGGCAGGCTAATGGGGATGGAGGCAGTGGGAATTTTCTTTTTTTTTGGGGGGGGGGGGAGAGAGAAAATGTAGTTTTAAAAATATAGTGATATTAGTAATTGTATGTTTATTGTCATTTAAAGTTTACGCTTCAGGACACACCAGATGTAATTCTTTTTAAATCTTTAATATTTGAATGGTTGTTGATGGTTTGTGTTTTTATGATGTTTTATATATGTTTCTTTATTGTGTTATATTTTAATTCTGTTTGACTGGTCTTGGTCCCTATGTAAGCCTCCCCCAGTCCCGGGATATAAGAATAAAGTTATTATTATTATTATTATTATTATTATTATTATTATTATTATTATTCTGACACTGCAAACAAGATATATATGCTGGATTTCGTATCACAAAATCACAAGTCGAACATTTAGGATATATTTTTGAATGATGTGCGCAGATCCAAGTAAGGTGGCCTTTTGCAGTAGACAGATCATGATTTTGTCAATGTTTATTGTTTTCAAATCCAGCTGAGATCTTTTGGCATGGCACCCAGTGTGTCGGTTTATGCCAGAGCCTTTGCAGTTCAATTTTGAGGTCCTGATAATGACTGAATTTTTCCTGTTGTTTTTCATCAATTTGACAGTCACATGGTATAGTAACATCAACATCCAATTTTTGTCTTTTCTACAGTCATGATGTCTGGCATATTGTGCTCCAAAACTTTGTCAGTCTGGATTTGAAAGTCCCACAGTATTTTTGCATGATCATTTTTCACTACCTTTGCAGGTTTATGATCCCACCAGTTCTTTACTACTGACAGGTGGTACTTGTGACATAAGTTCCAATGAATCATTTGGGCCGCAGAGTTGCGCCTTTGTTTGTAGTCTGTCTGTGTAATTTTTTTTGCAGCAGCTGAGAATATGATCAATGGTTTTATCTGCTTATTATTGTTATTATTATTATTTGCTCTGGTTTTAAAATTTGTATTGGCTGATGTCAGTAGGTCAGGCCTGGGCAAACTCCCTCCCCCCCCCCCCCCCGGTGTTGTGGACTTCAACTCCCACCATTCCTAACAGCCTCAGGCCCCTTCCTTCCTGGAGGGAGGACTCAAGTTGTGGGTGGGATTTTTGGTTTCTTAAGCAGCTGAAGGAGAAAAAGAAGGGGCCTGGTGCAGTTAGGAATGAGGGAGTTGAAGTCCAAAACATCTGGAGGGAGAACCTAAGTTGTGGGTGGGATTTAGGGTGGCTTAAGTGACTGAGGGGGGAAAAGAAGGGACCTGAGGCAGTTAGGAATAGTGGGAGTTAAAGTCCAAAATATCTGGAGGGAAGGCCCAAGTTTGTCCAGGAATAATAAAAATCCGTGGGACATTGGGAATGGGACTCCAGTGGGCACCCAAACGCCATGCCAGTCCCCGGTGGTTTCTGTGAGAGAGAGCTCAGAAAAAAATAACCCTCCTGGGGCTTCCCCTCGGCCCTTAAGGCGAATAGCTCGCTTGGCGACAAGATGAAGGTCACTCTCCCCCCTCTTGCCACTTTCCCTCCTTCATGGCCTTAAGACCAGTGAGAGGGAGGGAAGGGGGGCATGCTTCTTATTGAGGAGAAAAGTCGGAAGGACTCCTAATCTGAGCGGGGAGGGGGGCTGTGGGGAGAGAAAGGCCCCCTGACCCACCTCAAGACGGTGTCCGTCCTCACCCCACCTCCCCACCCCGGCCTTTCTTTCTTTCTTTTTTCTTCTTCTCCTGGGCGTCTTCCTCCCTCCCTCCCTGGACTCCCAGGTTGGATGCTGCAAGGCGTGTCCGGGGCTCTGCTCATGTGATGGAGAGGGGAGGGAGAGAGAGAGAGAGAGAGAGTGAAGGGGGAGGGGGGCTCTTTTTCTTCTTCTTCTTCTTCCTCTGAGCCTTTTTTTTTAAAGAGGAGTTTGCAGAAAGCCACTGGGTCCCTTTCCTTCAGTCGCAGCCTGAGCGCTTCCCTGAGCGGCAGAGAGGAGGAGGAGGAGGAGGAGGGAGCGCTGCTGCAACTGCCTGGACATCTTTCTCCTTGCTCTCCTCGCCTTTCTCCTTCGCCGGCTGGGCCAAACAAACCAACAACAACAACAACAACAAACAGGAGGGAAACCCAGCAGGAGGAGGAAGAGGAGAAGCCGCAGTTTCCTTCCAGCATGGGAGCCGGCAGCTCAGCGGAGCAGGCGAGCCCCCAGGACGGGGCGAATGCCGCAGAAGCGCAGCCCCCTCCACAGCAGCAGCAGCAGCAGCAGCCCCCCGAGGGGCAGGAGGAGGAGGAGGAGGAGGCCAAGGGGCCCGAGGCCGAGCAGCAGCAGCAGGACCCCGCCAAGGTATCCCCCCCCCCTCCACAGCGCAAGGGAAGCAAGGGCGGGGTCTTCCTCGGGTTTCCCCCCCCCCCCCCCCCCCCCGCGCGTGCCAACTTCCCCCAAACACCTGCTCCGAGGGGGGAGGGGAGGGGGGCCCCGGACTCCCCTGTTTGTGGCCCCGGAGGGGGTTTCGGGGAGAGAAGTTTGGCGGGGCGTGGCGGGCGCGCTTGGCCTCTCCGCTGCGGGGGAGAACTGCGCCACCGGCGCCACCTCCGCAGTCATAAACTCTTCGCGGCTCTTTGTCTGTCAGAAGGAGAAGGAGAAGGAGAAGGAGAAGGAGGCAGCCCTCCCCAAAGTCCTTGGCTTGGAGCGCCTCTTCCCCTCCGCAGAAGGGCCTCCTTCTCGCCTCCTGCCCGGCTTCGTGGGCTTCCCTCCCTCTCCCCGCTCTCCTCCAGGTATCTGGGGGTCAATAGAAGCCCCTGGCCCCCTTTCCCACCCCCTTCCCTCCTCCTTTTGTGTGGGAAAGACCCCACCCTCCCGCCAGGAGCCTCCTCTGACTACTGCGGGACTGCAGTAGTCCGGCGTGGTCCTTCTCCCCAGGTCTGCCTCTGCTGCTCGTGCTGCAGTGCCAGCCTCTTCCCTCTTCCCGAGGATGGGTGGTGCAATGAGTTAAACTCTTGTGCCGGCAGCACTGCTGGCCGACAGGTTCTAATCCAGGGAGATCGGGTTGAGCTCCCTCTGTCAGCTCCAGCTCCCCATGCGGGGGGGGGGATATGAGAGAAGCCTCCCACAAGGATGGTAAAACATCAAAACACCTGGGCATCCCCTGGGCAGTGTCCTTTCAGACAGTCAATTCTCTCTCGCCAAAGCTGTTGAGCTCCCTCTGTCAGCTCCAGCTCCCCATGGAGGGACATGAGAGAAGCCTCCCACAAGAATGGTAAAACCCAGGCATCCCCTGGGCAACATCCTTGCAGACGGCCAATTCTCTTGCACCAGAAGTGACTTGCAGTTTCTCAAGTCGCTCCTGACACACACCAAAAAAAGAGAGAGAGAGAGAGAGGAGGGAAATGTGCTAATGCAGGAGGAAAATAACAACAGAACAGAAAGGACCGGCTCTCATCTGACCCTGAGGGAGTGCCTGCCTTTCCAACCAGCTCTCCCCCTCCCCTCCTTCCCTTCCCTCCCTGATATCGACTTTGCTTCAAAGTCTGGTGCGTGTGCAGAATGGAGAACCAGGGTAGGGAGAGAGAGAGCCAGGCTGGCCCTGAGAATGATGCCTGCAGTTGAACTAAGGGCGTCTGTTCCCAAGGAAAGGAAGGAAGCCCAGTTAGGACCAGCATTAATAATAATAGTAATAATAATCTTTATTTATATCCCACCACCATCTCCCCAAAGGGACTCGAGGGAGCTTACAAGGCACTTCAGGGTGCACATATGTTGATCACCAGTGTTCTCAAAACATGGGTTGATGATAAAAAAAAAGAACCCTGAATTGGTACTCAATCTGTAAACATCTACTCAAGTACATTTCTGATTTCAGAGAGGTTCCGGACATTATTTTGTCACGTGGACATCCTGGTTTTGTTCAACATTTCACATTTTATGCACAAAGCATGGGCAAACTTGGGTCCTCTGGGTGTTTTGGACTTCAACTCCCACCATTCCTAACAGCCTAAGGCCCTTTCCTTTTCCCTCTCAGCCACTTAAGCCACCCAAAAATCCCACCCACAACTTTGGCCTTCCAGGTATTTTGGACTTCAGCTCCCACAATTCCTCACAGCCTCAGGCCCTTTCCTTTCCCCCCTCAGCCATTTAAGCCACCCACACATTTGGCCTTCCAAGTGTTTTAGACTTCAGCTCCTACAATTCCTAACAGTCCCAGGCCCTTTCCTTTTCCCCCTCAGCCACTTAAGCAGCAGAAGGGGAAAGGGAAAGGGCCTGAGGCTGTTAGGAATTGTGGGAGTTGAAGTCCAGAACACCTGGAGGGAGGGCCAAAGTTTGCTGATGCTTACTATATACTAATTTAAAACTTTTTAAAAACTAGAGACGAGATCTTTCAAACATGCTTTTTCTCCAGCATAGTATATGGGTGTTTCCAGAACTAGTTGTGACTTCGTTTTTGTGACCTTGTGGCTCCAGTTTTTAACTCCCAGCTAGAATTTTCCATAGTTGCTGCCCTCCAGTGAACACTATTGACAGTAGTATATTTCAAAGTGCCTTCTCCTGTCCCATTTTCCAAAGAGGTGGAGGGGGAGAAACAAAAGAAGCAGTGAGCACACAGTTCCTGATTGTGTGTGATTATTCAGCTACAGAAATGTAACATCAGAAATGACGAAATGTATCAGAAATATCTAACCGTGACGATAAAATAAGATTGGCTTCAAGCGTGAGAAAGAAAAGGATCTTGCTCAGAAGGTCAAGCTAGCATCGCTTAAGCCATGTGAATGAGTCTGTTATTTACTATGTTTCAAATCCTTCTGAATCTTAACTTCCAGAAAGGGACTTAAGGATTTGTATCCACATGAATCCAATTTTCAGGATAAGAGTAAACAATGTGATCATTTTAATATTAGGTCTGCTGCTGCCTAGAGGGCATGAAAACATTATCAAAAAAGGTCCGGATCAGTTTTTTTGACAGTCATCCAAGAAGTTGTGCCTTAATCTAGGTGTTTTCTAACCCAGTGTCTTTGAGTCAGTGTCTTGGGTGATGTAAAAACAAACCAACCCATGTTCTCTGGAGGATTTATGGGTGGCAAAGCAAGCTTATTTCATAGGACTCAAATTCCCAGAGCTAGAAAAGATATACTGACATGAATGTTTGTTCAAACAGGTACATGAGAGGTGACTGAAACCTGGGGACGTTGTTGGCATCAGCTGATCGTGTCATACAATGTTTATCTTAGGCCCCTTCCACACAGCTGAATAAAATCCCACATTATCTGCTTTGAACTGGAATATATGGCAGTGTGGACTCTGATAACCCAGTTCAAAGCAGATATTGTGGGATTCTCTGCCTTGATTTTTGGGTTATATGGCTGTGTGGAAGGGCCCTTATATATTTAGCTCTGTGTGAATTCTGAAAGAAAATACAACATTAGGCTACACATCTGCTTAGATAAGTAAAGCAGCATTTTGCAGTTGTTGGCTGAATGAAACCACATCAAATTAACTATGTCACAAATATTAATATTGCACCCTTCCCAAATTTGGTGCTTTCTAGATGTTTTCTAGATGTTTTCAGGTGGCAATTCTTGTAATTTGCAATACAACCAATGGGAGCTGGAGTCCAAAACCTTAGAAGCGTATCATAGTAGAGAACGCTTCATATTATCCAATAACTAAAGGACCATAAAGTTTGATGAGGTAGGAAGGGGATGCAGTGAAAAAAAAATCAACATTAACCTAACTCCACAGCTCTAGCCTCTTCTTCACCATCATGATCTTTGCCCCAGCCAGGCTAAGAGTCAAGTGCTAGACTTACTAACTGTTCCTCCAAGAATGTTATCCCCTGAAAACAATGTTTGGGACTGCAGAATAAAAATACTGTAGTCTCCACATTCATTGGGGAGACCTGAGTTGAGGCATTTGGTACAGAACTACATGCCTGGCCCAGTTCTGCAATGTAGCTCATCCCTTGGTCTCTTCTATGAGCTGAGGTCTGACCCCAGTCTCTTTGCATCTGAGCAGAGTTTGGCACTGTGACTCTATGGTGACTTTGGTTCCTCTGAATTCTTGTGTTTAGCAGCAGCTCCAGGCATTTATGTGGAGGCCTCTTCTCGGTTTCACCATACATTCTCAACGCTATTTCATTCAAGAAGAACATTGTAGAATCAGACTTAGAGTTATCTATATAGCAGTTTAAGAAGTCAGTGTCTGTCCATGTGTTATTGAATTACTGCCCCCAGCATTTCTCACCAAAGACTGGTTAGAGATGCTAGGAGTTATAATTCCCTCACCTCACAGTTTCCATTTTACTATATACGTGTAGCAATTTGATACTCCCTTACCTATTATAACTAAATCCTGTGGCATCCTGGGATGCGTAGTTTAATAAGGTACTGAGAATTCTCTGTGGGACAGCCTTTGTACCTTCCTTAATTCTACAGCACCAAAGCTGTCAGCATAATCTTTAGTGACTCCACATGCTACACATTTCAGGATTCAGCAGGACGGAATGATGACAAAGTGATATCAAATGACTATAACTATGTCGTATATATACATGATAAGATTCCACCTTGGTTTGGCTTTCTTTATCATCTCATTTTTAGTAGTCAGATGTTCTAGAAAGGCCATAAGCAGTGCATGAATTAAATAGCTTACTGCCAAAGTTACAATATCTGGTAATAGCATATAGACCATAATTGAATATAGAAGTTCCAGCTGTCATAGCTAGTAGGACTCACCTTTCATATATTTGTTTAACAATCATGCAAATGCATAAAGATAGGCCTGTGAAAGCGTTCAGTTATGCACATCACAGCTCAGTTCTGTGCATACCAATTCAAGAGTAAACCCAAGTGCAAGTTTCAAACATAAAAATTGGATTTAGTTTTGTGTATGTCCTTCAAAAGAATGTTGTATATAGAGTTTAAATGCCTTTAAATGCCCTAATATTTCTTATCAGCGATACATTGTAGAAGGGAGAAGGATTGGGACCTGTGAAAGACACTTCAAGGCTGGATAGGATATTCCTTTGGGTTAGATCTATTCCATTGCTCTTCCTTGGTTTAACCCTCTAAAGAGTCATCAAAGCTAGCAGGCATTACCCTATTTTGCATTGGTGAATTTCATAAGTCATTTGTGTGCCTGGGGTTAGTAGAATCATCAGACATAATGATCCTGACTTCAGGAGGCAGAAAATCAATTGGAGGTTCCTCTTGGTAGGAAATGGATCATCCAGCATTGAATGTATTCATCAGACTTTGTTTCCTTGACAAGATTGTATGAAATGCCTTGGTTTACCTTCCTCCCCAATAATAGACTATTGGTGTTTAGGAAAAGTGGAGGTGGAGGTATATATT